AATTCTAATTGTTCTGTTGCTTTTTCTTTCATAAATTTTTCAATAGTATTTGTAACTGTTTCATTAAAAGTTTCTTCTCTTATTTGTTCTAATTTTACTCTAAGTATCCCTTTGGATTCCATAAATTCTTTAGTTAACTTTTCTTTTAATATTATCATATCCTTTTTATTTTCTGATGTAATTTCTACTGATAATTCTTCTAGTATATTATGTGATCCAATGATTCTTTCTTTATTATTAAACTTAGATTCAGTTACTTCATCAAGTCCTTTAAGAGTTCTATGAAGTTCTCTGTATGTAGTTTCTATAATTTCTTTTTCTATATACACTGGTTTAACAAACTTTGATTTTTCTCTGTATGCTTTATACTTTTTGTACTTGTCACTAAGGTTCATCAGAAATGCTCCCAGAATATGGACAATATAATACTGTTTATTTTCATTTATTTGTATTTTTCTTCTTTGTAGTGTTGCAAGTATTTTTTGTGATTCAACTATTCTAGTTACATTTTCTCTTAAACCTTGTTGTTGTTCTTCATATATTTCTTCTAGCCATGATTTAATATCTCTAGTCTTTTCATATTTCATGTTTATTCTTTGTGTTGTCCATCTTAACAATATTCCTTCTTGTGTAGCATAAATTTTAATTCCTCTGAATGCTAAAATTTCTTTTAATTCTTCAAATTCCTGTATAATTATGGGTATATTAATAAATAATAATTCTTTTTCTTCCTATACTTTCAGAAGATATTTACTAATTTTTGAATTGATAGGACTTTCAATAATCATTAAACATATTTTTTTATCAAAGTATGTATTAATATCATAAAGTCTTTTCTCAGTATAAACACTGAAGTCAGGTATTTCTGGTTGTCTGTTACCCATAATGTTTATACTTGTTAGTAATGATTTTTTGAATCTTTTTCCATCAAACTATCGGTTGGTTTTATACTTTTTCTGAAATCATATCCGTGGTCCAGTAATGGGAAATAGTTGAATTGGAGTTCAGGTCTTTGGTTATTTCAGCAAAGATGTCTTGCGTGATTAAGGATGATATGAAATCAAAAAGTTATGAAAACAACTGAGTTCCTAAGCCTGTAATTATCCTGTCAGTAATTTCTCTTGCTAAAGATGTAGCCATTCTACTGTTTAAAATATCATCTATATGTGCTTCAATATGTTTTGCTATGAAATCTGTTAAATATTCTGTAAATTTTCCTTTAAGATTTTCAATTAAAAAACTTTTAATTACCTGTGTACATCTTTTCTTAAATTGATCCTTAAGAAATCTTCCAGTTTTATTCTTTAGTGCTTCAAGTATTAGATTCTTTACCTGTCCTGTTAAGAATCCTAAAAGTATTGATTGAATAAAATTGATTTCTAAATTTTGATTAGTAACTTCTTTTTTTATACTTTGAATTAAGTTTATCTCCAAGTGTGGTCAGTATCTCCTTCCACTATATCTATAATTATTTCTTCTAGATACTGTATATTAAATCTTACTATTCTTCTAAATAGAACTGCTCTTAGTTGATTGTAAGTTCTTATCATTGAATTAATTCCATGTTTTTCTGCAGCATGCCCTCTTCCCCCACATGATCTGCATATCATTGTCATAATGGTTCTAACAGCTGTTTCAGTTAATTTATTCATTCTATCTTTTGAAATAGTAGGGCATTTTTGAGATGTATATCCTCTACCATTACAATTATAATATTTAAATTTATTTAGTTGTAACTTAACTATTCTCCTGTTGTCTCTTTGTATGTTTTTAGATAATTCTTTAGAACAATTTCTCTTAATATGTCCCTTCTTTCCACATAAATCACATATTAATAAAGCATGTTCATTATTTATACTTCTTTGTTTGTATGTTTCCTTTTTTGGGCATTCTCTTGCAAAATGACCTTTCTGTTTGTAATAGAAACATTCATTATCTGATCTATTAACTTTAAACATTTCTACTTTAACATATCCTCCCATGTATCCTCCATCTTTTCCTTCTCCAAATTTTCCTCTAAAACTATATCCTTTACTTCCGAATCTTTTTTCAGAGTTATCATTGTTTTGAGTTTGATTTATATTCATAGTATTTTCTTCTTTCTTTATTTCTATATTATTAATTCCTCTACTACTTCTTCCTCTAAAACTACCTCTTCTTCTTACTATAGGTTTCCTTCTATTTCCAAATCCTCTACTTATTCTTAGATTATCAAAATCTTTTTCTATTTCTCTTTGTTTAAATGTTGTTTCTAATAATGCTACATAATTCATCATATCTTGCAATGTCATATTTTCTCCTTTGTATTGTTTTTTTATTTGTTCACTTTGTAATTCATTATGTATATATCTGTATGGTTTTAATGCTTCAAGATATGTTCTTATTACCCATGCTCCATTATTTCCAGTATATTCTATTCCTGTTCTTAAAAGTTTATCTGAAAAATCAGAATTAAATTCAGTAATTGATCTATACCTTGCATGACTAAATATTATCTCATATAATTTTTTAAATGCTGTCTCATTTTCGAATATTGTTTTCCAATGTTTTCTAATAAATGAGTATAATCCTGTTACAGTAGGTATCATTGCTATTGTTCCATCTGGTTGTTTATATCTATGTCTATAATCTTCTAGTGTTCTGGGTTTTAAGTATTGAAATATATTTTTCCATATTGTAGCTACTGTTCCTATCCATAATGATGCAATGTAATCTATCATTTTTTTAGATCTTTCATATAACCATACTGGTTTTTTTGGTTGTACTCCTACTACATGCTCAATGGCTCCTAAGCCTGAAAGTAATACTTTTACTAATTCTAATCCATCCCTATATCTATTTCCATATGGTCCTCCTCCATATGATATAACATTTCTCCAATAGTCATAAGCTGGTAAGTCTTTATGTCCTATTGGATTAGGTAAATATTCATCATTAGGTTCCTTTCCTGTAGGCAATCCTAATCCTACTACCATTCTTTTTAATGCTGCTATATATAAATTTACATTACTTCCATCAAATATTGGTATTGTTTCAATACTTGCTCTTATTAATTCAAATGATTGATTATTCCATTTATTTACATCATCTTGTGTATCTTTATTTAATCTTGCTGCTTCTACAATGTCAGTTATTTTCTTTTTTTTTTTTTTGTATTGATGTCTTTTACTGGGGTTTTTTCTTTTGGTTTTATTGATAGTAACTTTATTTCTAAAGGTTTATTTATCCAAGGTTCTTCAAATATTTCAGATTCTTCAAATCCTG